TCAGCCGCCTTTTACTTATGTGTACCAAGGATGTTCAGTTCCAGTTTAACAATGAATCCTACTTACAAGTTAATGGGGTGGATATGGAGAGCCCTCTAAGTCCTATACCAGTGATTATTTTCGTAGCTAATTTAGAGAATGAAAAACTTAAAGATCCAATCAGTGGCGTTATGTTTTGCACCAGGTACGTCGATGATATCTTGTTTTTGGTGATTTATTCCATGCATCTCATTTGTTTGAACGTTTTAATAACGCTTCTAACAATATTAAATTTACCATAAAATACAAAAATGATGGAAAGTTCAGTTTTCTGGATATTACCACAACGTAGGACTGAGAGTATTCTTCAAACGTCCATTCATCGAAAGAGCACGTGGAATGGTATCTATTTGAATTTTATTAGCTTTTTAAAACTAACTATAAACGGGGATTGGCTAAAGCTGTATTTTACCGAGTTTAAATGATATGTTCCAGTGGCAAAGTCGAGGAAGAATTGCGAGCTGTTGAAAGATGCTTACGAGATAGTGGATATCCACAAGCATTTATCAACAGATACGGAAAATCAGAAGACAGAAAGTCGAAGTAAGCTATAATCAGCAAAAAGTCTATATTCATTCGCCTCAATTTCAAAGGTGATGATATTGCAGGAACTATTAGCAGACGATTGAAGAAATTATCGGCCAGAACTTTCACTGCATCCAGGTTACTTCTTGTGTACTGAATGTGCTCTTTATCCTAGTTAAAAGTCGACAGGTACTTTTCCTATGTAACTTCCAACTGTGTATATCGATTTATGTGCAGCTGCTGTAGCAGATACTTTGAAAGAACAGAAAAGAGGGTGTATCCTAGATTTTGTAAACACATTCTGAAGAGCCTATGACTGAAGGGAAGTGACAATTTGAACCGAGGATTCACTCAGCATCTGATTAACACTAAATGTCAGGCGGACATCTTCGGTTCCTTCCAGATAGCAATCAAACGGGCCTAACTCTCCTTAGGGTTGCTGAAGCTATAGCCATTAAACGCCTCAAACCTGATTATGTCCAAAAAGGTTTGCTCAACGTCTATATATCCGAGTAATCTTTCTTGAGTGGCATTTGATTACATCTTCCTTCGTCAATCTTAGATGTTTATTCCCTCACTCTGATTTGGTTGCATTATCTTTTGTTCATATCGATTGTTTTTAACTAACCGGGCTTAATTCATAATGTTTTGTTTATTTATTCAACGATCTGCTTAGGTAATCTTAAAGTGTTAAGTTTCTCAGTGTTTTTTACTTACTGCTCTTTTCGTTATTTTATTTGAGAAACTTCTATTAGATTATGTAAGTAATTATGACCATTTATTAGTTCTCCTTGAATTTGCCGTTATGATCTACCGTTAATCTGTGACTATTTTTGTCCATCTTAACCACTGACCTAAATTTTGTTCTTTTCCAATGGATTGAAGTATGTTACATTTTCAGTAAAACTATACATTTTTATATTGTCCATTGTAAGCAGTTAACACGATACCACCAGAATAAAATGGATCCTTTTTGTCTTGCTCCTATTGTTGTTCTGGCTCTTTTCAAATTAGCCAGGTATATTAAATTGGAAACAAAGCTTTGTTAAGCTATTTCACATGTATGTCTCAGTTCTCTTATATTACAGAAGAAAATGTTAGCGAAAGATTTACTTCTCAATACTTCTGTTTCCTGAGATTCTCATTTTGCAATTGGTTTTCACCACGGAAGATAGTGGCACTATATCGCGAATCGGCAGTAGTAGGAATTGGTGGACCACCGTATTCCCACTCATTGAATGAGTGGTATTACTCTCACTGTGAGACCCAGCAGTCCTGGGTCGGACTGGCCGACCTCTGTCGGCATATGGGCTTCTTGTCGATGCCTCTATATTATCTGGAGACTCAATATGTTATAATTATAACAGTAAACCTTCAAAAAATGTTGAGGCATTCACAAGGAGCCCATATATCGACAAAGGTTGATCGGTTCAATCCAGTAAAGCAATGGAGTATTACAAGTATGAATAAATGACACCTGATATCCGTCTCTTATAATGTTATTTTTGTGAATCAGTAGCCTAGTGGATTACGTTCTGACGTTTGAAACGATAAGTGCTGGGTTGGAGTCTCAATGAGGGCATCCTCACGCACTCGGATACAGGTATGTCCGGCTGAAGGGTCTGAAACAGGGCGAAACGCGCACCCTGGATTCCACTACTGGTCATCTCCATGCAAACTATACCATTCTTTTCTATTTATGAACTAATAACTTCCAAGAGGCAGCAAATGCACTTTATCTCATCAATTCAAATTCTTTGCATTGGTCTATGTGTATAGTTCTTCATCAGTTATTCTTTTTTGTACAGTTCAAAACCTTTTTGTGGAAGTTCAGTCCTATCATAATCGATTTTATTTTGCACGTGTATGGAATGCAACCTGATTGCCAGTTTTGTTGAGCTCTTGAAAATTTGATTTGATCCGTACATTTGTCTGCACAGAGGTTTTTCTACATAATACTGTCACAATCGCTATATTTTACCCCATAAACAAAATCCTTGTGGTATTAATTCAGTGCTACGTCCTTGATTTTCGTTATTAATTAACATATAATGTAGAGTAAAAATCAACCCTTAGGCCATAATCAGTAAGCATTCTTATTATGCATCCGAAATATCTGCTGGAGCAATCGATTAACACTGCTGATTCCATATCGCAAAGAGGTGTCAGAAGAAATAAGAACGCATTATTGCAGCATATTTTAAAACGAGACTAGCGTCGAAAATTAACTATGCGATTTTGACCTCATGCATATCTTTTTTGTTCTAATTTTGGTTACTTTCATGAATAAGGACAAAATGCATTGCTGAGTTTATTTTTAAAATTATTTTATTCTCAACACGGAGAGGCTTTTGCCTAAACAGCTTATTATAATTTATATGATTATTTACTGCGTAGTGGCTTGGCAGTTAATAATTTATAGTGCATTAGTGCAGTCGTTTATTGGAATTAGAGTATTTCGCTTTTCACGCTTCATATTCATATCATTATAGAGACTAATTAAGATACTGTTGGTGGTTTTATCATCTTTTTAGTTTAAATGAGCGAAAGGATCATGACGACTAATGCGATTGTTTAGGCTTAATCATTGGTTGAAATTTTTTATCAAATGCACATTCTAACCATATAGCTGACTGACGTGAAACTGAGGTGAATCCTGTTCGATGTTATATGCTTGAAGATGGCAGGAGTTTTTTAGACTCCGACTTTGTATTTGTTCAAACTCTTCATCGAAGTTTGTCACCAGCCTTGTGAATATTCATATTTTCTCAGAAAGCTGAACCATTATCACCGTGGTACCTCATTATCATGTCACTAAGCTATGCGGTCTTATGATATCATTGTTCTGCGAATTTCTGCCAGAACTCAAGACTTCAAGGCTATATTGCTCCACATTCGGCGACTGATTCTTGTAATTATTCTGGTCCTATAGTTAGTCATTCTCATAACCTCAGTAGCTTAGTAGTAAAGTTGAAAACTTTGACGCCGATTGAGGCAGGTCCAAATCTTCAAGATATAGTGATTTTCCTGAGTATCGGATATTAACCTGCTTTATGGATGGCTAAAAACACATAACTTAATTTTGAAATTTTATTCCGACTAAATACAAACATTTACTGTTAAAGAATGGCACTTATGGTAAACTAACTTGCAGTATTAACAAAGGACATTACTTGGAATTGAGGTGTTTCAAGTTAGAAGAATTACGTAAAAAACAAATAATACATGGTGTAACTTGTGAAGATTTTCAGTTCACCTTTAATCACCACTCAGTATCAGCTGCATAAGTCTTCCAAACAGCGGGTAGCTCAAATACTTAAGCTGATAATATTTTAATAGTTGTATTGGCATTCCGACTTTGAATAATGAAGTGCTCAGAGCATTGAGTGAGATAAAAATGTGGATGCATATGCCCTAGTGCTGTGAGTTAATAAATACCAACTGTTCCATGTGAATTCACACTCTTATTTAATTCTTAAACAATGTTGAATTTTACTCTCAGCAAATTGGTAATTGAACGAAAGTAGTGCATAAATGTAATTCTCAATTAACTTCTGAAGTTCCATTGGATAAAATAGTATTGTGAAAAGTTGACTACCAGTAACTCATTGTTGATGGAGAAAATCAAGTGTAGTAACTTATTCTCTTAGCACTGGAATATAAGACTGACTGGTTTTTTTCAATTGGCAGCACTGAGAACTTGGCTAATTTGATTAAATGATTGAGGTCAAGGTTATGCGACAACTCGCATACAAAGGTCTAAGTAATATTTTATCATGAAGACAGAAAATCATATCTGTTCAACTTTTGTAATAATTTCATAAAGTCAGTAATTGATTTTGTTATTACTAAATCTTAGTGCGACAGTATTTTTTTTATGCATTTCAAAAGTATATTTTTCTTCAAAATGAGAATCAGCAGTCACACGATAACTGTTATTATCTTGTTCTAGTTCTCATCAGTATGCAGCAGCAAAGCATTTGGAAATTAAGCTTCAAGCTTTTTTGCGATGGCTAACACTTGTGTGGCTGGTGCTCTTAACCCTTTGCACCCAACCTGTAATTAATAGTTAATAGATTCAACCTCTGCCCTACAGATCGAAGTTCTGGCAACGAAATGGTATCGTTAGTCCTCCACAACTGAATTGGCTCATCACCTAGTGCACATGACTGTTGGATTTTGCGTTTCAGTAGAAAGATTGTATTTTGTGGGATCGATCGAGTGTTATGTTATGTTGAATCGAAATAGCTAATTATTTAGGATGTGAGTACTTGTTCTCAATGGTTGTTTGATTGCAATTGCTTTGACAAAAGTCATCTTGAAATTAATGAGAAGTTATTAGTTTACTTGTGAAATTTGATTGTTCATCGTATAAAAATGCATTGTTATCATTTACAAATTTAATTTTATCCAATTGTTTTTGTTTCTCACTTCAGACAAAACGTCATTCGCAAACACGATATTTTGTAAGGTTTCCATTTTTAACAGATGAAGAATTCGCCAACTGGAAAGTTGTTACTGACAGTTACTATGGTCAAGGTTACTCATGGGCGGAATTCGTACGATCATATAGATCAGCTCCAGGTTGTGCTAAGGCACTAGACTTAAATGAAAGCGTTTATCCAAATGCAGTGGAGGGTGACGCCAGTGAAAGAGTTTCGAAAACACCGGTGATATCATCCTTTGATGACGCAAACAGTGATCATTTATTTGGGTACACCCATCCGGTAGTTTAGTAAGTTATTTTAACCATTATTATTCTATGTATTTATGGGTTTCATTATTTACTTGGAATTGTCTCATGCTGATATGACAATATCATATCATCAGAAAGGTTTAAGGTTATTTGGTTTCTTGTCTAGTGGGCCTCAGGGTAGCCAGTGTCATAGTTACTGTGACTTCTTTACATCGTAAACCTTCTTGCAGGATTTAATAACGCATCAAGCTTTGATAAGTGACATGTCTTTGCTGCATTTTGATGTTTCACATAGTCGAGTTACCAACAAGTTTACTTGAACATTTTAGTATTCAGTTCATTATGTTAATTTTGGTAGCCTACATCCAAAGGTTAGCAGAAGCTAGTGGGTTTCTTCAATTTTATCCGGACTGATTGATGCAGTTACTCATTTCAACGGACTCTTATCACATTGAGTGAAGGCAGCTCGAATGTGAATTAACAGAGTTTTCGAAATCATCGTGAGCAGGCGTAGGTAGCGCTTCAGAAGAGACGAAAAAGGTAATACTTGGCAAGGATACAGGGAAGAAAAAGACGATAGTTAGTGAGATCACCACGGAAGATGATAGGACTCTGATGATCTCGCAGGACAGACTGCTAAAACGTTAGGTGGTGCAATTTGAAGCACACTTCAACTAGCCCACAGAAACACTTCATCTACTCAGCATCTAGCCCGAACCTGAATGAAGTGTGGATGTAAGTCCTACAACTCTCATCGATGTTCAGAAGGCTGCTTCAGACTTGGAACGATGCAGGGCAGCAGCAGCTTGTCACCCGAAGTTTTCAAGAAAGTGGAGTAATGCCAGGTTGTGGGACAGATGCATACTTATCGACTGCCAACACTTGCCATATTAATGTATCTGAAGGTGGTATTTGACTTTGTCGACCGAGAGGTGTTGTTGCAGCGTTTTACTGCGAAAGGAGTAGTGAGCATGTATGTGACACTGATCAAAGTCTTTTACTCGAACTCGTACAATCATGTAAGGGCTTATGAAAAATGTTGTCATCTGAAATGACGACAGACATTGGTATCGTCAAGTGGTGTCCTCTATTAACGTTCCTGTTTAACTTCGTTATAGACGCATAAATGAACATAACCTCATGTACCACTGATTTCACGGGGATTAACGTACAAGCTGAATTGTATGTGGTTAACTTAGAGTTCGAAGAGGGTATTGTTTTTTTGGGCAAGGATGCTGACAAAATGCAGTTTTTTCGAATGTCTTAAGTAGAAATCTGTGTGTGTTTGACGTGCGTTTGGCACCTATCAAATGCAAGATGACGCAGTGTCAAGCGAAGTAGGATTAAATTGTAAGAAACCTCGGGATGGCCAGACCAAGTCATGGGCATTAGTTCATGAAGGCTTCACCTGTTTTTCGAGCTCTGTGGGCAGGTGCAGACTGCCTGGATAAAGCCCTCAAGATGACAATAATCAGTGGTTAGAAACTTTTGGTGATATTACCTGAAATCGGTCACAATAAAGCAGTTGTATTCACTCTTTGAAGTTTTCTAAAGCGTGCTCACTTTCACTAACCTTGATTTTCAAAGTCCTTTTACTTCCATACCCTTTTGTTTACTTTTATGTCACTCGTTTTCTATTCACTTCTTGTTTGTATGCTACTGTGAAGTGTGAAACTTGAACCGATGCACAGCTGTGCCAGTTCGTGCACTTATGATATGTATCTGTCTTGTTTAGAGCATTTTATTTTCAGTTAAAATTCATTTTTCTACGTTTTCTGTTCTCCACTTTTGTCGTCTGCATATAACATAGTTTCATCTGCTTTTATTTATAAGCTTTTTTAATAACCAATGAGGCAAAGTTTTTGTTCTCTTTTTTCCTAGTGTTTGTCGTAAATAGATGACATGTGCCTCAAAGACAGTCTTTATTGTTCATTGACTCCAATTTATCCATTCCCATAGAATTTCCACTTACCCCCATAATACCTTTAAACCACATATGCTCGTGTTTTAATGTGGTTCAAGAGTTCCATTAAAGTGACTTACCAGCATGGTTAGCTGATGGTAAATTACAGCAATTAAGAGAACCACTTAAGATTGATTGCATTGTATCATGAGTTCACATCACTTAGATTGTGTACTGTTTTAATGCATAATCAAAAGATTTTGATTAGTACTAGAAACATCCAATGATGTTGCTAACCATCAGAATTTGCTTTTCTTAGTTTTGTAGTGAACAGAAGTTCAGTAGTACTCTCATTCTTAACTGATTAGCTTTCTACTGACCTTCTTATTTATCATAGATTGGCTATTGGTTATCTCATGACTAGATCATAGTTATCTCTTCTTGATCACATCTTCCTTGTTACATCAGTGAGTCTCTCTTTAACTGTGTGATATATTAATGGATATATACTCAGTTATCCTTCGGTATGAATTCATTATAACTTTTAGAACTGTCACTAGTTTATCCACGTTAGTCATTCATTATCAGATTATTCTTATTTATTATTTTCCTTTGGGTTCCTAGTGGAACACACGGCTTCAGTAGTACGCCTCCATTTCACTGTCTTCCCTGCAGTCTTTTGAACCTCGCTCCACGACTGCCCACAAGCTTTCATTTCTTCATCACATAATCTCCTCCATGCCACCCTCGCCTTAGATACCCAACTCGTCGTTTCCCCTTTGGATTCCAGTCGAGGGCCTGGCCTGGTGCGTGATGTCCCCAAATGGCCTTCTCAATGTATGTACAGTCGAATCCATCTCCACTTTCTTCTGCATATTTGTTGGGTGAAAGGTTGTTGGTTGGTTCGTTCCCAGAGTTCCTTGTTGCTTATTCTTATCATTCTGGCCATCTGATCTTCAGTATTGAGCATAGGTGGCAGGTGTTGATGAATGTGTGGGGTTTGTTGGAAGTGCTTTTCGTGACGCGCCAAGTTTCTGAACCGTGTAGAAGCACTGACTTGACATTGGTGTTGAAAATCCGGATCTTCTTCACGCTTTATGCTGAGTGGAGTGCAGTAGACCTCCACATTGATTTCAGATTAATGCAGGAAGGCTCGTCTTTCCTATCCTGGTTTTGACATCATTTGTGCCGCCGCCTGTGGTTGAAACTATGCTGCCTAGGTAGGTGGGTGAAAGAGACTACTTCCTTTAGGTTTCTCCCGTTGATAGTGATTGGTGCTTGTTAGTGGTGGTGGTGGTTGGGTATCTTCATCACCTCTGTCTTCTCTGCGTTCACTTGAAGCATGTCCCATCTTCGCTGCCTTGCCTCTTCTGTCAACTTGTTAGTTTTTGCCTGTTGATCTTCGAGTTTGTGCGACATTATACATAAATCATCATCTGCGAAATACAAATCTTCTAGGGTCTTTTCATCGGTCAAACAGCGCATACCCCTGTTCTCACTACTTAGAGGTTCCTGTATGATCCAGTCCTCCACAATCAGGAAGATCATCGATGATAGTAGGCGGCAACCTTGTCTTACTCCTGTCTTCACTTGAAAGGCGACACAGCTTCCCGTTGTGAATCACTCAGCATGTGGTGTCTTCATATAGCTGTTGAATGAGGTTGATAAGGGTTTGTGGCACTCCGTAGTGTTGAAACAGCTGCCTGCCAAATTACTTCTCGGTCGACGCTGTCGAAGGCCTTTTCAAAGTGGATGAAGTTGAGGTAAAGATCCAGTTGACTGCCATTATATGCTCTGTTCTATGATGATGCATAGCTTTGAAATTTGATCCGACCATGATTTGTTTTTCTTGAAGCCAGCCAGCCTGTTCCGGTCGCAGAGCATTTTTTAGTCTCTCTCTTCAGTATGATGCGCCATGATATTTTGCTTGGTGTGGTCAGCAGCATGATTCCGCGCCAGTTCTTGTAGAGGCTTAGGTCCCCTTTTTTTGGGAGTTTAACAAGGTAGCCCTTCTTCCAATCAATGTGCAGGTACCTTTCCTTCCTTCCAGATTAGTGAGTGAATATCCATTTAGTCAGTATTTTCCTAGTCTTGCGATCATTTAACTCGACAACTGCCCATAAATTCGAAGTACAAAACACCTAAACGACATTTACATCGTTTTGATGTCTGGAACGATGTTTAAAAGTGATTCGTTAAAATTGTTTACTTTTAAAAAATTGTATAAGTTCTTGATGTTGCCCTATCTAGTATTCATCTAGTTACATTCTTCATGATTTAGCCCGAAATTGTCATTTCGACCGGCCAGTAAACAAGCCAATTCTGATGCAATTGTAATGACATCATCTGATCCAAAATTTAAAGGTTATGGACTTTTCCGTGGTTTTATTAGTACACGTGTTCCTAAACGAGGTGATCTCGTTCGTGCTGGTTTTGCAAATCTTCATAGTCCTGAGAGCAGGTTGTTTGGATTTGTATTGCCATATGGATTTGGAGCTTATTCGCACTTAGTAATCAGGTAAGAATTAACTTTGCTGGTGATAATGATGATTAAATATATTTGAGAATTATGGTATTGTTGATTAGACTGTCGGAAATAGTTTTCGTTCGCAGACTGGTAATAATGTAAGGAAAGTGAAGATTGAAGTCGAACGAAAATCTGCGTCGTGACAGATATTGCATCAGTGGATTTCAGAGCTATAAAACCTAACTGTCAACCAAGTTTCACGTTAGGCACCCAGAGGATTTCTCTAGCTAACATGTGTAAGACGATTCATAACCACCCGTTTATCAGTACCACGCTAGCTGCCCAGTGATTTCATTTCACTTCTATTCAAATCAACATGAATAAGATCTCCGGAGCATGCAATGCACATCCAAAATATTTGCTAGTTATTTGGAGAAATGATGGTGACGATAGAACTGAATATTGAAGATCTAGGAAACTGATTTCTTACCATATGTTGGTCGTAAACTAAATGAATTACAATAAGGAAATGGTGATGAAAACTTCACCCATATAATCGACAGTAGCTCATATATTTTTAGGTTGTCTAAAAGTAAGTGGTGTAATGAGACCAATCGTTCACATGCTGGTGAATGCTTCAACGCAGTGTGACGCATAGTTTACGTCAGTTCACTTTTTTTTCTAGTAATTAGAAAGACACTCATCTTACCTCTTATTACCTATATGCATGCATAAATAGATACCAATAATGAAACCTTAGATCATATTTTATATATTTACTGTGATATTACTGTTTCATTACTTATAGCAAACGGAAGATGAAGATGGTAAGTGAAATCATCACCGAAAAGAATGAGACACTGATAACCTCCTAGGACAGGCAGCTAGGACGTTGGGCAGAACACATTGAAGCACACTTCAACTGACCCTCAACAACGCTTCAGTTGCCCAACATCCAGCCTGAATCTGAATGGAACGTAGGTGTCGGTCCTCCACCTCTCTCCTTAAAGTTGGAAAACTGTATCGAAACTGAAACTATACAAGTCAGCAGGACCTGACAGTTTGCCACTCGAAGTTTTTAAGGATCGAGGTAAAAAATCGGTGACTAGAGTGACGTAGGTACTAGGTAGTGTGTGGGAATCAGAGATAGTGTTGTCAGACTGGTGTACTTCACTGATCATTCCAGTCTATAAGAAGGGAGAGAAATCTTCTTGTGACAATTAGTTAGACCAACTTTGTATCGAAGATCCTAGGGTCCGCAGTTATCTGACACCTAACTGGAGCTTGAGAGGAAGAGGTGGGTTTCAGATCTGGACAGGGTTGCATCGATCACACTTTCACCCTAAGACAGGTTCTAGAACATAGGCATACCTACCAACCAATGACTGACACTTGCCATATTTCATGACCTAAAGACGGCATTCGACTCTGTCGACCATGAGATGTTGTGGCAGTGTCTGACGGTGATGAGAAAGTATGTAACGCTAATCAAAGCTCTCTACTCAAACTCATGCAGTCGTGTCAGGGCCTATGGAAAGTTGTCGTGTGAAATGAAATGAGGACAAGTAGTGGTGTCCACCAGGGATGCCGACTGTCACTGTTTCTACTTGGCTTTGTTACAGAGGTACCACTGGATTGACCTACTCCCTGAAAGTCCTCTAGTTGACTTGGAGTATGCAGACAATATTGTCCTGCTGGGCGAAGATAATCACAAAATGTGGCATCTTTTGAATGCTTGGAGCACAAATATGGGTATGTTTGACTGACATGCATTTCGCACCTTTCAAATGTAATATGATGCTCCAGGACTGGTGTACGACCGATTCCAGTTTAATGATAGGAAGTGAAGCGGTGGAACGTGTCGACCACTTTACTTGGGGAGTTGCATCGGCCCTAACGGGCTGGTTGCTGAGGAAGTCTCAGTTCGGATACAGAAGGCCCTTTCGGCATTTGCCAACTTGTATCAGCTTGGCCCCGGCAAGATATCCGACTGCCTATCAAAGGAGGACAAGTATACTGCGCTGCATTCCGTTTTGTCATACGGTTGCGAGACATGGCCATTTAAAAGGAGAAGACATGAAGCTATCCTAAGCCATGAGGAGAGTTGTATACTACTTGGTTAGGGTCACTAAGATAAAAAGAATCAGTAGCTGATGACTCTTGGTGGCACTTCTGGAAATAATTGGTCAAAATGGTGCAGATGTATTCACTCCTTGACATCTTCGAAAGCTTGAATACCGGTGGTACTAACCTTTATCCTCAGATTGCTTATTATCTCATACTAATTTATCTACTTTGATATCACTCTTTTCGTATTCTCTTGTTCTTTGTGTATTACTGGGAAGTGTGGCAACCTGAGTCGAATCATCTGTGTGTGAAGTTCTGTCTCGATTTTGTCTCTCAGTCAGTTAACGAAACAAGTTAGTTTGGATATCTTATACGGAAGTGTATACAAAGTATTTGTAAGTATGAGAATACTTAGTAAATCGGCTGGAAGCATTGGCAACGCTACTTATTTTGAAGTTTTCAACTTTGATAGGGTGATTGCTGCTGCAAATTGGTTTCGTATTTACCAGCCTCCACCATCTGTGACAATGGTCAAATATTTGGCTACTTATCAAAGAATAAACATATTCCTTATCAGTTAATTTTGTCCCATTGCATGACCATTTAAACGAGTGTATGAGAAGTATAGTTTTTTTTAAGCCCTACGCACAAGATTAAACTACAGAATTAGCTGCTGTGAGTTTAGATGTAGAATGTTTGAGAAGGAAGATGAGTCAGCTAATGTAGCTATGTATGTGCACTGCTGTAGGTGACGCAAAAATAAGTTGAAATTTGCGAACTTTCGTCTGCTGCGGTGCACATTGTCAATTAATATAAGATTATATCGCACTGGAAGCTAATGATAATGCTAGTTCATGAATTTCCTAATCATAAGTTTCAAATATATTGGTAGTTATACGCTGTATAGTCAAAGTTCTCAAGATGTAAATCTCTGGTTTAGATACTTGAGGGTGATGGCTCATAATGAATTGTAGAGAAGTCAGTTTATTCTCTTCTTGTCATCTTAGAAATTCTGAAGATTTTTCCGTTCTTCACTCATCTGTCACCTCTTCTATTATTTACTTATTGTTTGCCTTAATATATCTCTACATGTTTCGACGTTTTCTATGATTACCGTCTTAAAGTTGGAAAACTTAAATCATTCTATTTTTGTGCCAGATTTTACATGCTTTTGTCTCCTTACTTCTGTTGTTCTATTCAGAAGCAAACAAAGAACGAAATCATTATTGAAGGGAAAATCGACGATCAGTATCCGTCATGAGTATAGGAAGTATACAGTTTTCTAAGTTTGTTGGAATAAGACGTTGAATGTTTTCTTTTACCTACGATCTTCACTCTATTTCGTTCACCAATTATACACTTAGTGTCATTGTGTTGAATGAAGAAAGTATTAGTGAAAGTTGTTGAATCAAGTAGAATACACGTTGTTAAAGAGGAATATCGAAGTAGAACTTTGACTGTGTAAAGATACATATCTGGATGAAATATTGAAAAGTATTTGTTAAATAAGACATGAGGCCGTAATCTACGACATCATTAATATTCTAATCTAGAAAATTTCTTTGATGTAATGAAAACGAATTTGCACAGAAAATATATCTCTTACTCTGAAAACATTTCGCCGTCCAGGTGCGCATTTTCAAAATTGTACCTAAATTCGCCACTCGTCATAGAAATTTTTAACGTTTCATTGAAAACTCTTTTCTGCAATGCAAATCTCACTGTAAGTCATCCACCTCGTTTCCAGATGTCTTTTTATCTTCCACTTCTATTCTTGGAGCACTTTTTTGAAGTAGACAACATCTGTTGTTGAATTAATGAGCATCAGTTCGTTATGACGCAATTGCTTGTTTAAAAAAATACCAATGTAGGCCTACAAATGGATTTTTATATAATTCAGTAAAGTAGGTTATGTTTCGTTTATTGCAGATTTGACTAAAACAGCAGGGAAAAATAGATAGCGTTTGCATAATATGGTGTTTCTGTGCTGTTCAGATCCTAGTGGATTGCCGATTTAGCCATTATGTAAAAGGACTAGAGGAGAAGAATCGTAGGAATTAGATACGTACATTGTGTTGTGACTTTATAGCTCACTTGTATAAATGCGTGAGCCTTGATTAGTATTCATTCGATTAGGGACAACGGTTATTAGTAAAGACTTTTTCCAAGTAGAGGCTAATCAGTCCTAAGAATCGCAGTTTTAAGGAAATCAGAACTCTCTTCTCTGTCAATCACATAAGCACAACAAAATATGTTATCAGATTTGTTGTACATTTCTATCTTACATATTATTTCTTGTTTCTATTAGCTGGTCTTCAGGGTATTGATTTTTTTCCTGAAAGTAGTCCAGGTTATGTGCAGTTCTACAACGCGAGTTGTGACGTTTTGAATATTCATTTGAAATATAAATGTTGATTTATCAACTATTTTCAGGAATAGACGATGTAAATTACGCTGCAATAAATTGGATTTTCTTCACCTCAGAGAGTCACACTTTGTTTTTCATGTTTAAACACATAGTTGTTTACTCATTCCATTTTTATTTGAATGGCACTGTCAGTGGTTATACATATGATATTAGTCAACAATGAAGCTCAGATCGGACGTTTCGTGCAGCTTTGAACTCAATAGTCGAATATGCCCACATCACAGCGTAATATCCGATGTTCACACAGACTCGGACCGTGCACCCTTTGGTTTCAGACTTCATAGCGGAATGCACTAAGTTGTTGAACTATGAAAATCATCTGTTTTTCAACGGACACCAAATGCTAACAAAATTTCTAATCTTTCCAGTCTTCAGGGCTGAAGTGATCAAAAGATAGTAGTAATTGACCATTTTTCTGTTAGTTACGGAATATACATAGAGTAAATATCATTTCGTTTTTTTCTTGCTTAGGTATCGTGGAGACGGTCGAAATTATCAGATTGTTGTTCTACCTCCTCAGCATTGGGATTTCGGTCGATACAATTCACACCAATTCACCTTGTATACTAGAGGAGGACCGTACTGGCAAATAGCTAAAATCCCATTATCCAAATTTTATCGTACGCACTCAGAATTAATACATACTAGACAAACACCTTCGGATTTACTTCACATGCGGCTTTTTGCAATCACTTTGAAAGATAATATTGAAGGTCCGTTTAGCTTGGAGTTGGATTATATTAGTTTATATTTTGATGAACAACAGAATGATTCGTTTGATTACGAGGAGTACTGCCGTTCAGGAGCAGTGTGCTGAATATTAACCATCTTTAAAAACTGACATAATTGTGCATTAACTGTTCCACAATCTACAAAGTTTTTATATTTTTGTATAACATGAACCACCAAAGTGTGATCATAAATGGAGAGCGGGTTTTATTTGTATAGTTTATTGGGGGGGGGGGAAGAGAGAGAGAGAGTAACATATCTCTTGAAAACCAGTTGGGGTACATATTGTCTGGTTGTTTAGTTGAACACTCAATTTTCAACTACTGTTTTCGTAAGATTAAAAGTAAATGTCATTGGAATGATAATTTCCCATCACTGGATATTATGGAAACTCAGAGGATAAAGGAACATTAAATAATGCAGAAATGTGAAGATATTCTCCTAAAACTATGGTCTAAGATTTATCCACTCTAGCACACAACACAGAAGACTGAACTTTGGTAAGAATATTGGTGTGTGTCAGAGTTTTTATAGTTTCAAAGTAATATCACATAATTTGTTTATATACCCTTATGAAAGCTTTGAACAGAAACCTTTGAAATACGCTCAATTTCTGGCAACCAGGAAACACGATAAAACAATAGGCCTTCACTTGATTCTGTCTCTGAAAACACCAATATTGGCATGTGTGATTACTTGTGTTTTCTTGAAAAGTCGGAGCATGTCCGTTAGTTCCGAGGGATTTTGAGCTTTCTTGAAGCATGTCAACAATGACTTTGGATACCCTAAAACAACGATGAGTCAGCATCAGGAAGTCGCTGGACAACTCATGCAGTTTTAATTTGGTAGACGGATCATACAACACTGTAATGGTTCTAGAATTTCAAAGACTACGATGGATATGCTGTCATGTAGAAGTAATACTTATGGAGATGCTTTTGTAAATATATACACCGACCTGAGAAACAATATACGAATATAGACGCCTTGTCTCAGCTGTCAGTCAGAAAACATGACGACTACCCATCTTGTTCAGAAGTTGCTGTTTCTGCCATGCCACTGGCCAGATTTCAGAGGGCACATACCCTTTAAGGATGCTGTAACAGCAATACTGTACCGTGTGTTGCGATAGAAAAGATATAGACTGGTAGAGGCTTACGCTAAAGCTCTAAGTGTGAAGGTGAAGAGCCCATGGGCACTAGGGAATCGAATGACGTCATTGGACGGCATTTTTGTGTTTAATTTGGTCTTCAGTAACCACTGGTGGGTAGTAATGCCACAACCAGTTGCAACAGCAATTCTCTAGAAATTGCATGGTGCCCTAGGTGTCGGGGGGATAAACAGGGCGACTCAGACTAATGACTCGCGCTACTGATAGCTACAGCATCAGAGCGTTTGATATTTCGTTCAAAGTTGCCAGACATGCGAACGAACGGAGGACCCGTCTAGAAATTTTGGAGCACTTCTTAAAATGAGGCGGACTCCTGAACGAGAAAGTGAGTGGGGATATCATCTGAACACTGCGCGACACGGTATGAAAACAAGCATATCTTGGTTATGGTAGTGTGGTTTGCAAATTTTAACTGCCACCATGTAGATGTACTAAAAAACAACACAGGTTAAAATATACTTGAGTGTGATAGTTGAAGGACAATGTGGTTTAGTTGCAAAAATGACGATATGATTATGAATGGAATGAGTGCTCAGACAGTTCGTTAAACAATGAATTTTGTTTGCATGGGGAGGTCTCACGAACACTTAGTTATCTTCATCGTCAACACTGAATCTTAAACCTTAGTCCCTCAAACTTCGAGGTAAGTGATTATGAAAACGTCTCTCGGCGTATGCTAAATAAAGGTACTATCAAAAGGTGGTGTTCGTCGCGGACTGACGTCAACTGGAGAGGTACTAGTACGATAGTAACATTGAAGTTTGGTCCGTTATGGCACAGCGGCCACGAAAAGTGTCATGATAGGACACAATGGGGATAACTATGAGAAATAAGTAGAAGTATTCTGATTTATTCAGCCAAAATATTTCCGAAGCATTTGAAGCAGTTCATTGTTGGAATCTATAGCTCCTAATTTGGTTGCCTGTTAGTTGTCTACTCCAGGTAACAAATAGGATGAACGACTGCGTACAGGCATGATAATGCACCATTCCGTATTTTTGAACGGTATACTCATTCACGTTCACTGCAACTTGAGACATTGATGAAAGATTCTGAAATATCCAGCTAAGATTCCTCGCCTACGTAACTACTTACTAGCCGGTCCTAAGCCTGGATGAAGAGGGAAGGTTGGGCATACGGCTAGCAAATCTACCCCGTGAAACCAACCCAACCGCTAAAGAGACTCCAAAACACAAAGAAAATATTAAACTTATTTCTCGCTGGTATCGGAGAGACGAAATGTTACCGGTTGGTGAAAGCCTTCGAGAAACCAATTGGCCGATGTGTCTCCGATCACTCGATGAATGCAAAAGTAAGATTGGAGATATGGAATGCTCACACCATGTATGAACCTATCAAGGCTGCCCAGATTGCAGAAGAGATGAGAAGGTATCGCATTGAAGTGTCAGGAATTTGCGAAAGCAGATGGAATGGAAGTCGACTCTCCAAACTGTCAACTGGAGAGTCAATAATTTAATCTACTCCGATATTGTCACCCAGACGATGACGACCACGAGCACACTGAGTTTTCCAGTGACTATCATGATGTTCCCCCCTCGAGAGCATAGAAGGCTCTCTCTCATGCAGTGGGAACCAATCTTCTCCTGCAGGATCAGGATCATAACAGCAAGGTCCAACTCAAAAGGCAGGAAAGTCACAATCACACAATGCTACGCTACACACCTACAAATAATTAAACAGATCAAGAGAAGAATGAGGAATTCTACAGACAACTGCAGTCAACAATGGACACAAGCCCTCCCCAGTTGGCCACATCAAAATTCTAATGAGTGGGTTGACATGAATGCGGAACTGGGAGCCGACAACACAGGAAGAGAAGTCATCATGGGTCGAGAGTCACTCGGTGAAATGATGAATGAGAATGGAGAACTGTTTGCAGACTTCTGCGCATTCAACGATTTGTTGATTGGAGTCAGGTAGTGTGTACAAACAAACACAAGCACATTCACAAGGCAGCGACATCGATTCGATCTCACCATTCACCAGATGGACACACTACACTAGAAATGAGATCGACTTAATCTCAATGTGGAGAAAGTGGAGACGCAGTCTACTGGACACAGGATCAAATCAAGAAGAGGAGCAGATGTGGGTTGACAACACTCACTATCTAGTGAGAGGAACCTACCTTGAAAATCAATCAAGTTGAAAGCCTTCAAAGAAGCTGGTGATGATAGACCAGAGTTGAAGTTCAATACCCAGAACAGAGACTGAACTGAAGGACGAAACTACAAAGGACATCTTCACATCAGCCAGCCATGAAGACAAAATGAGAGATTTTGAGCAACATCCTTGAAGGATCGGGCGTGGAAGAACACTAAAACATTTTGAAAGAGACGTGGAAAGAAACCTGCGAAACGGTGTGACGAAGGAGGAAGAAGCAAGACCAGACAAGTAATGTATCTCGACGGACACATGAAAGCTGATAGAGGAGGGAGAAGATGGTAAAGCAGAAGATGAACCAGTGCAAGGATGCACAACGAAAAGAGAAACTGAACACAACCTATAAAGCACTACACTGAACAAAAGAGTGAAGAGGAGTGCACGGAAACATAAAAGACACTTCTACGACTGACTTGTAAGTGAAGGAGGTAGGAGAGACCTGACAACACTATATCAAATAACCAGGTAGGAAAGAGATGAACACAGACGAGACCAATGAAAGATGGTGAAGGAAACCTAGTTACCAAAGAGGAGAAACAAAGGGCTGATCACTTCCAAAAACTCTTGGATCGTCCACCACCTGCGACTCGTCCAGCAGCAACCGGCAACCACAGAATTACCAGTGAACACATGCCCTCCGACAAAAGCAGAAGTGAAGTCCTGAACGCCTTTAAGTTACTGAAATCCCGGGAAGCGGCAGAACCAGATGGAATTCCGCCAGAAGCACTGAAAACAGACACAGACAACAGCGGACACGCTCGCACCACTACTATAGGAGGTGTGCAAAGAAGAAAGGAAAAGTACCTGCACATTGATTGGAAGAAGGGCTACCTTGTCAAACTCCCAAAAAAAAGGGGACCTAAGCCTCTACAAGAACTGGCGCGGAATCATGCTGCTGACCACACCAAGCAAAATATCATGGCGCATCATACTGAAGAGAGAGACTAAAAAGTGCTCTGCGACCGGAACAGGCTGGCTGGCTGGCTTCAAGAAAAACAAATCATGGTCGGATCAAATTTCAAAGCTATGCATCATCATAGAACAGAGCATATAATGGCAGTCAACTGGATCTTTACCTCAACTTCATCCACTTTGAAAAGGCCTTCGACAGCGTCGACCGAGAAGTAATTTGGCAGGCAGCTGTTTCAACACTACGGAGTGCCACAAACCCTTATCAACCTCATTCAACAGCTATATGAAGACACCACATGCTGAGTGATTCACAACGGGAAGCTGTGACGCCTTTCAAGTGAAGACAAGAGTAAGACAAGGTTGCCGCCTACTATCATCGATGATCTTCCTGATTGTGGAGGACTGGATCATACAGGAACCTCTAAGTAGTGAGAACAGGGGTATGCGCTGTTTGACCGATGAAAAGACCCTAGAAGATTTGTATTTCGCAGATGATGATTTATGTATAATGTCGCACAAACTCGAAGATCAACAGGCAAAAACTAACAAGTTGACAGAAGAGGCAAGGCAGCGAAGATGGGACATGCTTCAAGTGAACGCAGAGAAGACAGAGGTGATGAAGATACCCAACCACCACCACCACTAACAAGCACCAATCACCATCAACGGGAGAAACCTAAAGGAAGTAGTCTCTTTCACCCACCTACCTAGGCAGCATAGTTTCAACCACAGGCGGCGGCACAAATGATGTCAAAACCAGGATAGGAAAGACGAGCCTTCCTGCATTAATCTAAAATCAATGTGGAGATCTACTGCACTCC